ATATTCATCAAAAATAGGGGAATCTTTGAAAAATATATAAATAAATATTTTTACACAAAAAAATTGACCAAAATACCCCTGAAACTTTTCGGGGGTATTTTGATCAATTTTTTTTACAGATAATTTTTTTTAATATTTTTATTAGATGCACCTCAGTAAGATTTACATACCTTCTAAATTTCAAGTCATTCCGATTTATAAAAAAATAAAAAATAAAATACTACCGAATAATCGTGACCGTGCGATGAAACTTGGACGATGATGAAGATAAGCGAAATCACTATTCACATCCACCCATAGACGTTAGGAATACTTTTTTCTTCTATATATACACCCCTAATGCCTTGGTTAGAAAAGGGAGATGCGCCTTTGGCCTAAGCAAAATGGATAAAAATAGATGGTGTAAGTTGGAAACTTCAAAGAGAGAAAACCTTATACGTTTTCATTGAAATAGTAAGCCCCTGGGAGAGTCGCCTAACATGTGAAAAAGGATATCTATGGATATGGCAAAGCAAACCCATTTTTTTTCTCTCTTACATGAAACACCCATGTCATATCTCTCTCTACGGAAATGGCAGAGCAAACCCATCTCTCTCCTTACAGGAAACAGCCACATTTCTGTCTAAGATAAAGCCATCTTTCTCTCTCTCTCTCTCTCTACGAAACAGCCATCTCTCTCTACACTATTTTGCCGAAGCCTTCTCTCTCTCCTCATAGCATAGCCCTCGTTCTCTCTCCATTTCTCGTCACACCACAACCTCTCTCTCTTTATGATACAGCTATCTCTCTCTCTTTCTACAGAACAGCCATCTCTCTCTCTCCACCATTTTTCTAGTTTTCGAAAAATTGGCCTAGAAAAATATACTCACCCAAATCCTCATGGGACCTTAAGCATCCTTGAAGCGTGTTTATCATTGTGTACAGTAAAAAGGAGCATTGTTTTGAATGATACAATACAATAAATGATACAATACGGAAGGGAATATTATTAAACTTCTGTTGGCGTTCAATTGGAGGAAGTTCAGTTAATTTTTAATCAGTGGAAAAGCCCATTTGCAGGTTTCAGCTTCTAGTGATCGAAAATAGTCCCTTGAAGATCATAATAACATTGATTTAATTGAGGAACGTGCATCATCCTGCTTACAGAAAAGCTTATCAATCTCGTAAACAAAAAAAGTTCCCATTTCGGGTTTCTACCTTCAAATTACAGTTTTTTGTACTGTAGAGAGAGATGGCTATATCATAGAGAGAAAGAGATGCCTGTTTGGGTAATTCAGTGGTAAAGACACGTCCCTACCTGTTTTTTTAATAGATCAAGAGTGTCAGCGGTAGAAATGGCTACCACGATGTGGTAACTAAGGAAGGGATGCTACCACCCCGACTTGGCCCTTTTTCTTAAAAAAGAGACAGACGAGTTTGTTCCGAGATTTCCATAGAGATTCTAACATATGAGATTCTTTGTATATATTTTTGTGATTTTATATACAAATTTTAATAACATTAACAACATCAACAACAATAACATATTAATTGTTCAATAGTCTACCTCTTATAAGTATTTTGATCAATTTCTTTAATAAATAAATAAATAATAATAAACCATTAATAATAATAATAATAATAATAATAATCTTGATTAATATTTTGTAGGTTCATATTGATGTAATTATAAAATAGGTCATAATATTAAAAAAATATATTCTTTTCTCTTTAAGTCTAGATTTGTAGGGTGGGGTCCTTCGAAGGTAAGATTGGTTTTCGGCAATGGAAGAAAAAGGGGAGGGAGCTGACTAATGGATCGGGTTTGATATTTTGTAAAATACAATGATTAAATTTGTAAAAAAAAAAAAACAAAGAAAAACATAATTGGGAGGCTAACCATCCCAAAGTTTTAAATTTTAGGAGATGCAAGGGATTTCGGTAGTCTAACAGGGATGAAAATTACGGAGAAGGGGCTATAAGTCATTTTTCTTAATAATAATCATTATTTGATAATTATAAAAATATAATATTCAATTAGAATAAAGATATTAAATATAGTTTGATTAGTCATAATAAAACAATTATATTGTACTATGAGAATTTTAACTACATAATATTGATCCTTTTTTTGGCTAGTTCATGTTAGTCTATTTTAATAAGATAAAAACAAGTACATGATACTAATTTTTTTTTTTAAAGTAATAAATATTCCTATAGCTGAATTAATAATCATAACAATATCCTCTCTATATTACTTAACTTGATATATTGAAAATTTGTATTATTCACTCATTTCATTGTTTGTCTAAGATCATATAGTATTTCAATTACTGCTAGTTGCAAAGAGTATTTCATCTCTCTTTCTCGCTGTGTGAAATTCTTATTTTTATTTAATTAAAAATTATTATTTTTTATTTCAATTTATATTTTCTTTTTAGTTTGTAAATTTATTTTGCTTACAAAATTATCATTAATGAAAATATTACATGCGGAACATTTGAATAACACCTACAACTACTAGTAGGATTTGAGCGCTGCCCCTTGAGAAAAGTAGGATTCCCTAAAGAAAATATCATCAAAGGCCTTCAATTAACCAACAAAATCATTACCAACTTGAGGACTCTCACTTCTTACATTTTAAGTTTCATTCCATAAAGTTTATTACAATTTATATTTCATCAATAAAAGCACCCCAAAGTTATTCTAAATTTTCCAAATTATCTTCAAAGTTGAAATTCCTAAACACTAAAAGGTAATTTAGTAATTTCACACATGCTCCAACCAAATCTAAAGGCATTTTAGCCATTAACCCAAGCTTTAAACAAATCGGGAAATTGCCTCTTGTTGTTCACAGTTAATAAATGAGACTAACATATAACCAGAATACCAAAGTAAACAATATAAAACCAAAGCTATTCTTATAATCTAATAGTTCCACGTTCGAAACCTTGAATAATCAGAAGTAATTTTGTAAATTTCTCATGTCACTAAAGTAAGCCAATAACCAAAATACTCTGGAATGGTTAAGAAATCACAATCAAAACAAGGTAATTTGAAAATTTTCAAAAAAAAAAAAACTACTATTTTTATGAGTGTCTTTATGACAAGAAACTTAAAAGGGTAAATGGGTTCTCTTGACCCTTTAATTTTGCGAGACAATTTAAGCCCTTTATTGCCAAAGTCTATCACAAACCAAAGGAATACATGCACAAATGCACAGAATCACAGTGCCTCTTGACTGGTTATGACTTTCAAACAGAACTAAAATCATGTGAGAACCCAAAACATACTATTTTCCCAACAGTACAAGAACCCAAATCATACAAAAGGAAACCAATCATTCACCAGATTTGAACAAAGAACAAATACAAAGAAGAAAACCGTCCCGAATGAATGTGGAAAACAGGAATTTCAAAGGCCTCTGGGATGAAAATGCCAAATGATCACATTGCCCGCAACCATCATCAAAACAACAAACTCGAACTTCAAATGCCTCATTGAATGAGAATGCCAGATGCCACGACTGCGTGTGGCTTGATGCCGATCCTTGAGTTACCTATAGGAATCAATACGCTTGGGTTTGCTTTGAACAGCTGCCTCAATCTTCTCCAGCACATCAGGCGTCAACAACGGGATGACATCAATAGCTTTCATGTTCTCTTGAATCTGCACAAAGGGGAAGTTCTTGCAATAAGAATATACCTCAATCCAGACTCGTTATTTGAACAAGAAAACCAAAGAATAGCACCATCTCAACCAACGATATGATATATTTCGTGGAAAATCAGCTATAAGGATTTTCCCAGATCACAAAAAAAAACAAGGAAACTTTGGTATAAGAATTTGACTAAATTTATTTAGTTTTTAAAGCCTGTCATCTCGATGGGGATGACACAGATGTTTATCAAATGGATTGGATGAAACTATTGTAGAATGCATTTCATCTAATTTGTATGTCAATGATGAGCTGCATAACCAAACGCAAACTCAATGGCAGATCAGTTGGCAAATATAGGCGAATAATTAAAGATGGGCAGGGTCTATCTGCCTCAGTTTATGTAAACCTCAGGGATTCAATGCTTTCCTTACAAATGAGGACGGAAAAAAATCGTCACTCTTCAATCAGCCACATATAAAATCAGCGACATATAAGATGGGATTTTCTCAATGTAACAGTTGCCTTCATGTTTATTATATTTGACTAGTGTTGGACAGAAAAGATTTTCTTGGTATGGGATATATGGGAATACCAAGGTAACATATTCTTAGTAAGAACAACTAGGACTGCAACCTTGGAATGTCCACTCTCATATAACATCTTTACATTTCCATTTTTTGTTGCCAACAAATGACATTTCAAGTCCAACAACTCATCAAAAACAAAGAAAAACTGAAGTTTAGCTTACCTGGCTCTCCTTTGTAGCACCCGTAAGGACAGAAGAGACATTGGGATTCGACGCACACCAAGCAATTGCAAGTTGAGATAGTGGCACACCTAATTCACTTGCAATGGGTTTTAACCCATTAACCTTTCTCAACACGTCATCAACCAATGATCTGCTAGCAAGATTCTACAAAGCCAATCCCAATAGTCAAAGATGCTATAGGCCTCACTATTTAAGTAAAATTATATCCATAAGAAAATAAGTGAAGTAGACTTTACAAAACTGAATCGAATGGAAGGTGTCAAACTCAAAAGCATACACAGAAACTTGTTGCCATCTATTTTGACTTGGCATCATCAAAAACAAACTCTCATCCATACAGAAGTGTCAAAGATAACAATTAATTGGTGAGCATATAAAATAAATGTCAGCCATGAAAATTAAGAAATTTGTATATGATAAGTATGGTCCAAATTCAAGTTACCCACAGAAAATCTTCCCACAATTTTCCTTCCCCCATTTTGTGAAACTAGTCCCAAAAGGATACATACTTTGCACAAATGGGACATTTTATTTTTGTCCATTTGTTGGTTTGCTCAAGTCTATTGAATGTCGGGAGGGCAAGCTTCTCTCTAATTAAATTAAAATCAATACAAGCTAATTTTCCAGAAAATGCATCTTTTTTTTGTTTGGAGAAGAGCTAACTATAATTGTATTAATGATGTCAAAATGTATATTTACCAAAAGAAAAAGATATCAACATGTATAGAAATACATCTATTTACATCAAGAGAATAACTATTGATAGTCATGTAAATATCCGCACAAACATTTCCTGCCATGAGGCATGTGGCCAACCTGCATTCAGTGATTAACTCACACATTTAATATATGCCTATATTGAAGACATTTTTTTATATGCAAGAGATTGATTGTACGATTTCTAAGCCAACACCCATAGATTCCCAGGTATGCATCACTGAATAGCTCATGGAGCATTTTTTAATAGGAATCAAACTTCAAATGCATGTCCTATGACACTATGACCAATGCACCAATCAATTTTAGGTTCCAGTGACTAAGTGCATAAATAGCTATCAAACTAAAACTCAAATGCGTTAAGCCAATGTTTGAATAAGAAAACTCATGTAGTGAAAAAGATAAACGAGTGACATCAGAGGCAAATACGCCAGAACTAAAAGCAATCAGTTATAGTTTAGGAAAATGTCTCGCAAATCCTCGTTCAGAACATAACCAGAAAACAATATGCTGTATGCCATTGTCAGAACATGGAAATACAAGAATGAAGTAACATCAAAAGATCATTTGAGAAACTAGCATTCCACAACTTTGCCATCATAACTAGAACAATTTAGAACAGAAATTTAAGGGCATCTATCACAAAAACAAAGATGGAGAGATTAACTGTATGAGCATCAATCCTGACCTTGTAATTTTCTAAAGCAAAACGACTGTCTGGAGGAATTTCTCCTTTGCTGTATTTTCCAGTGAGCACTCCTGATGCTAGAGGACTCCATGTTGTGAGACCCATTCCATGGTTGCTGTAAAGTGGTAAATACTCAACTTCCACCTGAAACAATAGATGGAAAAAGAAACACAAATTAGAAAAACTACGGGTTCTGATTTAAAAGAAATTCATATATTTTCAATGTGAAACAATTTTTACTGATACTACTTTGTTCTAGAGCTAGGTTTACAGACAGCAACTGTAGCCAATGAAAGTTGATAATTTAGGTTCTATCCAAAAGTTCCATGAAAGCTCCAATTACTTTCATTACAAGATAACCTGCCAAGTAGATTTGATTTTGTAAATAAAAAGAAAGAGAATGAAATCCGAGCAATTGGTGCGTCCCATTTCATCCTAGAAACAATAATAGGATGTTTCACATAAAGAAATACAATTCCATTTGGAAATGGAATTTTTTCTCACCTAGAAATCAACAAACACAAGTCACTCCGAGAAATTTTTTACAGATTTATCTCAAGGGAAAAACTACTCGATTGGTGGCATAATACTCGAATGCAAATCAGAAACCAAACAAAAGGCCATTCAATTATTTTCTTCAAGACCCAGTTCAAGAACCAAATCAAGTTGTAACAAAGAAATCAGAACACAATCTAAGTGCCCTAAGGAAATAACTGAACAAATAGAAAGAAATAAAAAAGAAGCAGGAAAACAACAAAGAAAACAAGCTAGCAATTGCAAAATCCAAAGGCCCATCCCAAGACCAAAGTAAAAATGAGCAGGTGAGCTGCAAAGTTTGGAACAGATAAAGACGTTGGCTTGTATTAGGTGCAAACTTTGAATTGGATTCAGGAAGAAAGGAATAGATAAATTGCAGCAAAATTTTTATTATGTTGGTTTGTACGAGGTACACTTCGAGCCCTGACTTACACCATGCCACTGAATGGAAGTCCACAAGACCAAGTACAGTGGAACACATTTGATGTATCACCAAAAGGCCATTACCAGAACCACATCAAACATGCACCAAAGAGCCAAAAAAATTGAAACCAATCAAATCGGATAGTAAAATATAAGAAAAGATAACCAGGAATATTTTCCAGATGACTAAATCCAATGCCATATCAAATTCCTAAAACATAAAGCCTAACTGTACAAAAAAGTGGGTTTACATTTTTTTTTTTTGGGTTAATTTTTTAGGGGTTGCAATATATGGTTAATCTCCAACACTTGATTTCTATTTTTTTTAATTTTCTTTTTTTACTATGCACTGGTTACTATTCATGGGTGTCGTTCATGGGTTACTCACGGGAGTATTTCCGAAATGTTGGTATTGTTTTGGGGTGTTCTAGAATCTTAAATTATTCACTTGGATCTTAAGTTAATTTTAGGCTTCATATGCGTATAAATGGTTGGACATCATTACATCATGTTATGGGATGCTTATGTTATTGGAATGAATTTTACTTTATGAAAGAAGAAAGTTCTTCTCTTGGGTTGATTTACAACCCTGCTTTTCCTCCATTATTGTTGATTTTGCTTGTTTGAGGTTCAAAAAAAAGGTGGATCTTTTGCTTTTTTTTTATAATGTTAACCTTAAATTAAGTACAAGGATGAGTACAAGAGACCTAGGAGATCCACAAGGGCAGATGCTCTAGGGAAGCAAGTAAAAAACCAAAAAAGAAATCCAAAAGCCTCTTTTTTTAAGGTTACAATATTCAAGAAAATGGAGAACTTGACAGAGAAATTTACAAAGTGGTGCACAAGTGAAGCCAACAACAAGGTTTGCCTTAAACAAAAAAGAATCTACAAGGATAGATCCAAATCGTGAGGGTTTTATGTTGATTAGCACGAATCAATGTCCGAGTTTAAGTGGGAATGGACTGATGATGTATCAAGTTACGTAGATGGGTTTGACCAGTGATGGCATCGATGGAAGCATAATCTTGAAGGAGAATAACAAGGATCCAATCTTCAATTGGATTCAATATTCTTTTAATACGTAGATGGTCCAATCTTTGATAGTGTTGTTGTCGTTGATAGCGAACCTATTTTTTATAAAGAAACAGGTGATCCTAGGGCTTCATGAAACCCCAACTTGCAATGCCACATATTTCTGCAATGCCCAGAAATATTTCAAAACTGATTATCGAGATCACTGCAAAAAAAATTTGTTAGAGTCCTTGGTCCCCACCTAATGTAGTTGGGTACACGACTAGAAATTAAAATTTTTTGTTCTAAAGCAAATTCTGAAACTTCTCGCTTAAAGATTAGTCCGAAGCTCTGAAGGAGCAAAATCTTATAATATTCCAAAATTTTGAAAGTTTCACAGAAGGAGGTCATTCAAGCCGTACAAATTTTATTCCAAGAACATAGGTATAAGAATGAAAAGTCAATGACCATATCTCGCTTGTAAAGAAGATATCTTGTTGCCTAGTGTTCCCAAAATAGATAAGAGCCCAATTTACAACCAGAAATTCGAGAAGATTGGTCGATGATCGAGACTCTAGAAGAATAGAAAAGGCCTATGAAGAAAATATCTTCATAATGGAAGTGTTTATTTTATTTTTCCTCACTTTATGTAAAGAAAAATCAGGCTTTTTTTTTTCTGTTTAGCCCATGGTTTTAACCCATGGTTAGTAATTTGCTTTTAGCTCATGGTTTTGGCCCGTGTTTTTGTAAATCACTTAAAGCAATGCATAAGTGGTATTGGGCACTTTTTGATGTAGATAAATATGCTATTCCTCATTTGGAAAAGCAAGTGGGTATTCCATACTCAAAGCTACATTCATACCTGACACTTCTTAAGTGAAGTTGCCTAACCTCGTCTCAGTGCATCAATGTGGGTGACGATCATCTATTTGATTTTGAATATAACATACGAAAGTGTTTTATCTACTTTCCGAAAGCTGATAGCATAGGAAGGATGAATAAACCTTAAAAGGTCATCTTGATAGCCGTGAACACTTTCTCAAAGTCCTCGCCTATTTCGTCATATATAAGTCAGCTATCCCCCCAGCATAACTCCTTTCCAAGTGACTCTACATCCTCTCAACTCCTACTCTTTTATCTCTCCCTTTGACATCTTGTGGTTCTCCCTTCTTCTGTTATATCAAAAATCACAAAAGGAAGTCCCTCTCCCTCTTTTCTTCCTCTTTTGGTTCTCTACTTCTATTCAGTGTTCTCTCTCCTCCTTTAGAAAAGGAAAGAGAATATAAACAAGAAAGGGTGCGGTTTCTATAAGGTTGCAACCTCAAACATTCCAATTAAGGCGCTCCAAATTTTATCATGACATGTAATTTTGGTGTAAAAAAATTCTTAGGATTATCTGAAAATCAATTCTCTTCTCTAATTATAAAATTTTAAATCCCAAAAATGGTTAAAATCAAGTAGATCCATAAACATATGAAATTCTTGAAAATGAACGGTCTAGATAATGTATTGCCAGATGCACTATTTCTGGGACTCAAAATCTTGTTTGTTTTTCATATTCATACATGTCGATGTCAAGATGATCAATTAGAAAGTTTTTTGAACATTAAAACAGCCTTTTCCAATGGATTTTTGAGGTGTGTCTTTAATTCTACATTTTAAGGTTGCAATCTTATATAAAGTTTTTCCAAAAAGAAATCATATTCAATATTTCATGCCAACCCCAGATTTAACCTTCTAATAATATCTCCAAGTTTAAGCTTCCAAATTTGATCATGTCAGTTCAAATCTATTTCATGTAATCTATATATCCTATCAATAAGTTAATAAATTAGATCTTTCTCTATAACCCAAGTCCTCAATCTATATTGCCCATGCCTCATTGGAGAGAGACAAAAGGGGGGAAGGGAGAGAGATCAAACAGCAGATGCCAGGGAAAACTCAAGAGAGAGATAGAGGGACCAATTCAAATAGCCAAAAGACAGACAAGAAAGAAAAACAGCTGCAAACAACAGAAAAACAGAGCTATAGATAAGAGAGAGAAAAAAGAAACTACCTTGTGCCGTGAAAACAGGTTATACTCAGGCTGCTCAACCACTGGCCCAATAAGATCAAGCCTCTCCGCAACTCCCCATGCCTCTGTAATTTGTTGAGCACTCCATTCACTCGTTCCCCAATAGAAAGCCCACCCATTATCAATCACATAATTCATAGCCCTAACTGTCTCTTCAATAGGGGTTTGGATATCAGGTCTATGGCAAAGCAAAACATCAACATACTCCATATCCAGCCTCTTCAACGAAGCTTTAGTTCCCTCAATTACGTGTTTTCGAGATAAACCCTTATCATTCGGTCCATTACCTCCCCAAAAAATCTTCGTGGCAACCACGATATCAGAGCGTTTCCATCCAAGTTCTCGAATGGCTTGACCCATGATCTCCTCCGCTCTTCCATTCGCATACACCTCCGCATTGTCGAAGAAATTCACGCCATGGTCTCTGCAACATTGAAGGATCGATTTCGCTTCCTTTACATCAAGCTGGTTCCCGAAGCTAACCCATGCACCATATGACAGCTGGCTCACCTTGAGACCAGATCTCCCCAGGTTCTTGTACTGCATTTTCGAATTCAAGGCCTTCACCTGGTGCCTTGATAGAGATTGAACTTCTAGCTTGAGTTGCAGAGTTCTAGGGTTTCGTTGATACACAAAGAAGCTTTGAATCCCCTTCTGTGGACACAGAGAGCTAGGATTTATACAGATCTTGAATGAGAAAGTAAGGATATTTCACAGGAACTTCTCAATGGGACTAAACCCTAAATTTCAGATTTTAGAGAGAGAAAATGGGAATTTTCTAGAGAGAGAGGAGAGGGGAAGGTACTATATTCTCTGGAAGAGTAAATACAGAGAGGAAGGTCTGCATGAACTGACCACGTGCACCGTATGCTTTTTTCCCCGGTTTTGTCCGACCTTTTCAAAATTCTTTGGGAAAAGTTTATATAGAGCCGAGGCTCTTAACAATCAAATTAGAACCCACCTCAAAACTTTCCCTAAAACAAGTTGTTTTGATGCTATCTCGATATCGAGATAGATGGACATGATAAAAAAAAATAGATTTCAAGTTCTGAAAATAGTGCATCTTGTAACACATTTTTAGACCGTCAACTTTTTAATTTTTTTTCAAGTTTTCATAGATCTGCTTCATCTACACTATTTTTTAAGCTTTGAATTTCATAATTAGATATGAAAATAGATTTCAAGGCTATCACAAAGATTTACAGTATTTAAACAATATTTCTTGATACTATTTGAAGTTGTGTTATACTTTGATTGTTTAGGCCTTGGCTTTAAATAAATAAACTTTTTTTCATGCGGGCTAGATGGCAGTCCAAAAGGTGTAAAGCATCCATCTTAAAGATGGATGCATCTAAAAACAATGGAAACTACTGGTCCAAATGTTTTCTTACTAGAATTAATATCTCTAATTTTTTAAATTTACTTATTTTTCCGTATTCATGCTCTTCATGTTAGAGATTACATGTCCTCAAAAATTAAGTCTTAAAATCTATCTAAAAATTATATTTATTAAGAGGCCTGCATTTCTACATATGCGGGCTTAGCCACATAGAAACCGGGTCCCTAAATAAATAGTTTTATATTGAATGAATTATTTTGCAGGACATAGAAAGTAAGATCTTGTTATTAGGGCAAAGTATATAAGAATATGAATTATTGTGCGCCTAGGCTCATTGGGGCATGTGATTCCATCTTAATTACCGTCATTTATGTTGCATTTGCTTCTTCATTTTTTTGGGAAATAAATTGGGGGAGTCGCATGTGATCCACTGTATCAACCAACTTTGAGGAAATGGTTCAGCATCATGTAAGTTTTCAAACAATAAACTACATAGTCTCTCACTATCAACCCCCTTTGATGAAATGGTTCAGCACCAACCGTGTCAAGGAGAATTAGAATGGACTTCTACATGCAATATCAGCCTCAGTGCAATATATGGTATGGCATAGGGATTAAAAAATTGTCGAACCGATTTGGAATTGCTTGAGTCAGTTTAGAAGCAAGTGCTCAGACTTTTTGCTGCTTGAGTCAACTTGGAAGCCGATACTTTACTCTCATTCGGGATGGTCCCGAACTAAGAAATCACCTCAATTTGTCCACAATTGGGGTTTGATGTTGTTCATGATTTTCTCTTCTTTCATTGAAGGTTCAAAGTTTCATTTTTTCTTTTTCTTTTTGGTGGTTTCTTCGTCCAACTCAGATTGATGCCTACCAAAAAGACTCTTGATTATGGTGCATTAGAGGTGCACATTATTGAGACTACTCTAATGCACCATGATAGGAGTCTTGATGTGTCAAAGCCCAAACTATAGTGAAAGCTTTGGTTTTTGCACCATTCATTTATAGCATTGGATGGTGTAGATTTACTAAAAAAACCAAGATATGTGACAAACAAGTGCTTTACAGTTTAAATTTGCATGTCAAATATAAATGGACAGGCCTTAAAGCCTCGACCAGAACATTGCGAACCCTAGCCCCTAAAGACTTTTCCTTTTTTAATATTTATTTTAGACACTTTGTAATTGATGCATTAACTTTAGTATGAGTCGGTCGAAATATATTTATATATGCGGCCCTCCACAAAAATTTATTTAGATGATTTTAAAATAAAATAAAAATTGTAGAATCATTTAAGCCAATGTGATCATAAATATGAAAAAAAATAAAAACATAAAATAAAATAAAAAATAAGCTTTCAAAATTAAAAATATAATTTTTTAATTTTTTTTATGCACCAACCATATCTTATATATAAACAACATCCTTCCTAGTAAGTCACATGAGACAATTTTTCTTAACTTTAAGCAACACTTTTGAGCACTTTCAAGGTCGTTAACGGGTAGAAATTTACATAATGGAATAGCCTATATCCTTTGCTTGTTATAGACCTGTCCCCATGTCTCTTTTTTCACAACTGTATTCTCGAAGTTGACCTTAGGGACCCATGCACAATGGGCTTATTACTGTATAATAATTGCATGTGCAACTTTACAGACCGATAGGTAAACGGCGTAGGGTTAATTCCAAATGGATTTTTATATACTACATAGAGCATCATGGTCGAAAAAGGGTGAAAATTTTAAACTTTCTTTTAACCCATTTCAAAGTTGAGTAAAAGATATGGGTTGTGTTGAGTAGGCAACTAATATAAAACTTTATCAAAAAATTTTATGAATAGCTGATCCCAATTAGTTAGAAAAAAAATTTGATGATGATAATGATGAAAATATATTGTATATTTCTTCCCTAAAAAATGAAATACAATATGTTCCCTTGGGACTAAATTGGAAGAGTCACTAAACACATAACATGCATATCAATTTTTTATATTAAGTTTTTGAATCTAAATTACAATTACCAAGTGAGTATTCTTTCACAAAACAACAATTGAATTTTGCATTCCTGAATACTTAGAAAAATTAAACAAACTCTATTCAATATTCATACTTTTTTTTTCACTTCTCGCTTTTTGAAATTGATTGAATGGTTACAAAAATTATGTCTCCAAATTTTTGGGTTTGAATCGTGCTTCTAGATAGGGTTTTATATGAGGGAATGGTTCTCCAAATACTCCTACATGAGCATAATGTTTTTTCACTGATATAAAATGTTATATGTGGAAAGGATGCAGTTTTTATAAGGCCTAGGCTTTTTATAAAAACCAAGTAAATTCTCACCTCGAGTCTTCGTCCGAAAAGCACTTTGTGATGTACTTTTTTTCAATTCAAAAAGTACAACAATTTCCTCCTTTGCAAACATTAGGTAACATATATCATTTGCATACTGTGAAGTAATTTGAACCTCCACTTAGTTTATGCACTACAAAGTACATCAAGCTCCATGGTAGCATATATCTTTGAATTAAAGACATTATCTGATATATTGGTAGCACAACATACAAATGGCATAACTCTCTGGTGACTCTTTATGTTGTCAGCTCATTATGGGCCTTGAGCGTATATCCCGAATTTGTGAGTGCTCTACGTACAAGTCTACGTTGGGTTTGGTGATAGCTAAATCATCATACTCATATTTTCATCTAAAGATTAGGGTATTATGGGAATAGAAAACTGATTTTCTTGGGAAGCAAGAAAGTGATATCTTTATAAGAGAATGAAGGAGGACATAATACTCATCCTTTGAGGTTCACCTATTTGGGGGTTATGGGAATGGATCTCCAATATGGATAGCCCTAAGAGAGGGACGGTATTCCTATGAGTTTTGGGTTGGTTAACTTTTCACTTCTGGAGAGAGAAAGCCTCTCGAATGCTTTTAAGGTTATCTTTTCGATAATGATATTGCGGTGTGAAAGAGAATGTTGATCGACGTTGTTGCTCGGTCTGGAGAGCGGGTTTAGAAAGAAAGATCAGTGATAGCTTTTACTGATATTTAGAGATATGTATTATCTCTTGTAACTCAAAACTGTAATCTTCATTATGATAATAGATTTCTAGTTGCTGAGGTCGTGGATGTAGTCCTATGGGGTGAACCACGTAAATCGTGTGTTGTTGTGGTGTGCTTTTTTATGTTTACTTTATTTCTCGTACTCGATTTATAATTGTATTCATCTACTTCGTATTTGGCCAATTGAGTACACGATCTTAGGTGGGATCCTAGTATTTGATATTCCTAGTTCTATAAGCTATGGGGTTCTCGAGATCCCTACAATGATTGTTAGGTTTGGTGATAGCTAAATCACCATACCCATATATTCTTCTAAAGATTAAGAGAGTGAAGGAATACATAATACCAATTATTTGAGGGTCACCCTTTGGGGGTTATGGGAATGAATCTCCAATATGGAGATGGGTCTCCAAGAGACAGAGACATGGCCTCCAAGAGAGGCGATATTCTCGTGAGTTTTGGGTTGGTTAACTTCCACTTTTAGAGAGAGAAAATCTCTATGTTGCTCTCGATGTTATCTTTTCAGTAATGGTATTGCAATGAGAAAGATGATATTGATCAACGGTGTTGCTCGATCTAGAGAGCGAGTTTAGAAAGGAAGATCGGTGATGGTCTTTTACCAATGTTTAGAATAGGTATTATCTCTTGTAATCTAAAACTGTAATCTTCATTGTTATAGTAAATTTCTAGTTGTCGAGGCCGGGGATGTAACCTTACGTGGTGAGCTACGTAAATCATGTGTTGTTGTGGTGTGTTTTTTTATGTTTGCTTTATTTCTTGCACTCAATTTATAGTTGTATTCATCTGCTTCGCGTTTGGCCAATTGAGTACATGATCTTGGGTGGGATCCCATTATTTAGGATTCCCGATTCCCCAAGCTAAAGGGTCCACGAGAATCCTACAATTAGTATCAGAGCATAAGGTGCGTACGGCGTTAAGGCTTACAATAAGGAAATGTTGCATGGTAGAGTTTGATGGATACATGGTTTGAGATGGAGAAATATGGAGGCAAAGTGTTTGTGAAAATTCAACAATGGAGGCAAGTGAGAAAATCAAGAAATATCCATAGTTTTGAGGTGAATAAATATGAAGGCAAAGTGTTTGTGAAAATTCCATAATGGAAGAAAGTATGAAGAAATCAAGAAATCTATTCAAAGAAGGTTGTCAAGGCAATTATGGTGATTTTGCTATCAAGTGGAGATTGTAGGGTTTGGTGATAGCTAAATCACCATACCCATATTTTTTTTATAAAATAAAGGTATTATGGGAAATAGAAAATGGACTTTTTTGGGAAGCAAAAAAGTGATATGTTTATAAGAAAGTGAAGAAATACATAATACTCATCCCTTGAGAGTCACCTCTTTACGGGTTATGGGAATGGATCTACAATATGGAGATAGGTCTCTAAGAGAGAGAGACATGGCTTCCGAGAGAGAGGCGGTATTCCCATGAGTTTTAGATTG